AGCAGCAGGGAATCAAGCCACGCCTCGGGACGCTCCACTTGTTGCTGCTGGGGGCGGTTCTTGCTGCTGCTGCTGCTGCTGCTGCTGCTGTCGCTCGTGTGTCTCCGCGGCATTTTGCTGCTATTCGTTTGTGGCTGCAGCTGCATCTCCCGCTGCTGCATGCTGCTGCTGTGCCGCTTGCTTCTGCTGCTCTCTGCTACATCATCAAGGAAGCAGCAACGTCCACCCCCCCACCTGCTTCTGCTGCTGCTGCAGCAGCAGCAGCAGCAGCAGCAGGAGAGGATACACCTTCTGCTGCCCATGGGGTTCCTCTGCTGCTGCGTGAGTCAACTCCGGATGCAGACAGCAGCAGCAGCAGCAGCAGCAGCAGCAGCAACACGTCCCCTGCTGCAGCAACAAGCAGCTTGCTGCTGCCCACCTATTCTTTCTCGTCGCAGCGGCTGCAGCGCCCAGTGGCGATAGGGAGCGTCCGCAGCATGCACAGCAGCAGCAGCAGCAGCAGCAACAGCAGCAACAGCAGCAACAGCAGCAGCAGTAACAGGTATACGCAGCCAGGCCGCAGTTCCTTTACATCTATCTGCCGCTGGATGTCTGCTGCTGCTGCTGCTGCTCTCTGGCTGCTGCTGCTGCTGTCTCCTTTTATGGGGGCGGGGGGCTTCAGCTCCCCCTGCATATTCAGAGAGCCGCCGCAGCAGCAAGGGGGCCTTGCTGCACTCTACAGCAGCAGCAGCAGCAGCAGCAGCAGCAGCAGCAGCGACAGCAGCAGCCGGGAAGGCAGGACGCACCACGTTACTACAACAGAGAAGGAGGCAGCAACTGCAAGCAGCAGCAGCAGCAGCAGCAGCAGAAACAGCAACAGAAACAGAAACAAAAACAACAGAGGCAGCAGCAACAGCAGCAGCAACAACAGGGACGGCAGCAGGAGGAGCAGCAGCAGCATCACCATCACCAGCAGGCGACTGAGTGCAGCAGAATCGAAGCCCTCCTTGGCAGATGATGCTGCTGCTGCTGCTGCTGCTGGTGCTGTTGCTGCTGCACCGGGTGCTGCGGCAGCACCGCCAGCAGCTGCTGCAGCAGCAGCACATTCTGCTGCAGCGCCAACTGCTGCTGCCGCTGCACCAAATGGTGCTGCAGCAGCAAAACCAACTGCTGCTGCTGCTGCGCAGCACAGGGGATCTGCTGCTGCTGCAACACAGACAGCAGCACGAGGGACAGCAGCAGCAGCGCCAAAAACCCAAACTGCAGCAGCAGCAGCAGCAGCTGCAGCACCAGCAGCAACACGACCAGCACCACCACCAGCAGCCCCACTACGCGCAGCAGCACCACCACCAGCAGCAGCAGCAGCATCAACAGAAACACCAACAGTAGCAGCAGCAGCACCATTACGCGCGGCAGCACCAGCAGCAACAGCAGCAACACCAGCAGCAGCAGCAATACCAGCAGCACCAGCATTGACACAAACAGCAGCACCAACAGCACCACCGCTACGTGCAGCAGCACCAGCAGCAGCAAAACCAGCAGCAGGAGCACCCGCACCAGCAGCACCCACAGCTGCACCGCCAGCAGCAGCAACACCAGCAGCAGCAGCAGCACCACCACCACCACAAGCAGCAGCACCACAAGCAGCAGCAGCACCCGCAGCAGCAGCATCCGCAGCATCTGCCCCCGCAGCAGCAGCACCCGCAGCAGCACCACCAGCAACAGCACCACCAGCAACAGCAGCATCAGCAACAGCAGCACCAGCAGCAACAGCACCAGTTGCAGCAGCACCCGCAGCAACAGCACCAGCAGCAGCAGCACCCGCAGCAGCAGCACCCGCAGCAGCAGCAGCAACAGGAGTGAGCAGCAGCAGCAGCGACTCGTGGCTGCCGCCTCGCCCGATGCTGGTTGGGCAGCGAGGGCTTCCTTTGCTGCGCCCTGAAAACACAATGTAACTCAAGTTGCTGCTGCTGCTGCTGCTGCTGCTGCTGCTGCTGCTGTTGCTGCTGCTGTTGCTGCTGCTGTTGCTGCGTCTGTTGCTGCGTCTGTCGCTGCTGCTTTAGATGCTAGCATTGTTGCTGTTGCTGTATATGTTGCTGGTGGTGTCCCCGCTTCTGTTGCTGCTGCTGTTGTTGCTGCTGTTCCAACTGCTGCTGCTGCTGCTGCTGCTGCAGCTGCTGCTGCTGTGCATGCGGACCTGCTGTGTGTTGCTGCTGCAGCGAGTCCTTTCGTGCTGCTCGTGCTGCAGGGGCTTCGGCATTTGCTGCTGACGTTCATATTGCTGCAACCCACACGCTGTTCTTGTTCGTGCGCTGCTGCTGCTGCTGCTGCTGCTGCTGTTGCTGCTGCTGCTGCTGCTGTTGCTGTTGATGTTGCTGTCCAAAGAAACAATACAGCTGCTCCTGTTGTTGTTGCTGCTGCTGCTGCTGCTGTTGCTGCTGCTGGAGTTTACTGCACTACATTCAATTCAAAACACTTCTGCTGTTTCTGCTGCTGCTGTTTCTGCTGCTGTTGTTCCTGCTGCTGCTGTCTCTGCTGCTGCTGTTCCTGCTGCTGCTGCTGCTGCTGCTGCTGCTGCTGCTGCTGCAGCGGGACAGCACGTTTGCTCGTATGACGGATGCTTCGCGTGTGTTTCCTGCTGCTGCTGCTGCCCCCGTTGATTTGTTTGCGTGGACAGACATTGCGGCTCTCAACCCAGGAGCATGGTGGATAGAGGTGCTGCTGCTGCTGCTGCTGTTGCTGCTGTTGCTGTTGCTGTTGCTGCTGCTGCTGGTGTTGCTGCTGCTGCTACTGCTGGTGTTGATGCTGGTGTTGATGCTGCTGCTGCTGCTGCTGCTGCTGATGGTGTTGATGCTGTTGCTGTTGCTGTTGCTGCTGCTGGTGTTGATGCTGTTGCTGTTGCTGTTGCTGCTGCTGGTGTTGATGCTGCTGCTGCTGCTGGTGTTGCTGCTGTTGCTGCTGCTCCTGCAAGTGCATGCCTGACTTTGCTGCTCCTGCTGCTACTGCTGTATGTCCAACTTTGTATGCTGCTGCTGCTGCTGTTGCTGTTGTTGTTGCTGCTGCTGCTGCTGCTGCTGCTGCTGCAGCGGGATATATACGGGACGGTCTCCAGCATCGACATGAAGACACGCGAAACTATTGCAGAACAACGTAGGCACACTCACATGCAGCAGCAGCAGCAGCAGCAACAGCAGCAGCAGCAGCAGCAGCAACAGCAGCAACAGCAGAAGCAGCAGCAGCAGCAACAGC